ACAAACACACACACACACACACACACACACACACACACACACACACACACACACACACACACACACACACACACACACACACACACACACACACACACACAACAAATGCAGTGTTGTGACTCAAGGGTAAAACCACGCTATCACACCATTATCTATGCCTGAATTATTCTCTTGATGCTACTCTATACCATTATATGGATGCTATTACAAAGCATTAAAGGGCTGATTATGGCTATTACAGATATGATTATAGGGTACCTGCTTATATGATCTGCACACAGCAGTAATCACAGGTGAGAGGAGACAACTGTCTCATTTAATGACTTGTATGTGCAGCACTCACACTCCCACTTTTACACAGTACACATACACAGAAATGCAGGTAAAGTGAACGGTGTGTAGGCTGTGAATCTTTTTCCACCAAGTATTCAAACACGTGTAGGAGCAAGACGTACTATATATCTGGAAAACTTTATGTGTAGAAAAAAAGTTGTTCTCATGAAATGGATAATTGAGTTTTACAGAAAGAAATACTACTCATTACTTCGAAACAAGGTCAGAGCAGGCAGCAGTGAGGTAATTAAGAGGTCAGTGTAAGGCCTCCTCAACAGGGAAGCCCTCCATGAGTGTATGACCAGCAGAGAAGATGAGAGCAGGTGTCAGCTTGACGAACACATATCCCCTTCTATAGAGACAGGGGGGAAAAGGGAAGAAGGGATGGAGTAATGGGAGACCAGAGGGAGGATAGAGGGGGGTTGAAGGGGGGCCACTGGAGCAAATCCAGCAGGGAGAAGGTGAGCAGCCTGCCCGTCTACCCTCCCCCTGCAGATTGAAGTCTTGCGAAGAAAATAAAGTTTATTGCCTGGAAAGAGGGGGGAAAAAGCATGTAAAAAGCATTAAAGCGATGGAGGTGAACAATTAGACAGATGGCCAGGTTTTGGAAGGAGAAGAGGAAAAAAAGGGTAGAAAAAGAGAGGAAGAACGCACGGACGCAATCGTTCAGGGTTTTTATGAGGACCCTGACAACTCCTGGTCTCTTCAAGGGCGAAGGAAAAGTGAGAGGCAGCGAAGCCTCTCTGGTTAACTCTGGAGTAATCGCTGAGTGTGCAACAGCACAGAGCCCGGCTCGGGGTGACAGAGCTTACTGCCCCCAGCTACACACAACCTATCGCTCCATCTGAACGCAAAAGGCTAATTATTTAGGAAACACACGCGTAAATAGGCTTTACGGCTTGAAAACTAAAAACTAAGGCGACTGTGTGTCCATCTTCATAACCGGGCACCCACAAAAAGAGCATTGTGTACAGGACAGAAAGTGGCAAGGTCACCATGATTGTAGCATGGCCATTAGATCTCTCCGCTCCTGCCGCTGCCTTCCACCCGCTCAACCCAAGAGA